GGGACCCTACCCAGAGAAACAGAGATGCCTGAGATGGAGACAGAGACGATGACGTGGAGTAATAAAGCGGCTGGGGACTTTGGATCCAGAGAGGGAAAGGGACTGTGGACTGAAAACTGGGGGTGTGGGGGGAATAGGGGGCGGCTATGGTCATTGCGAAGTATGAGTATTCTGGAACACTTAATTGTGCTCATGAGGAACCTGTACATACTCCTAGAGGCAGATATTCGAACAGAACACAGGAATACTGAATGGTTTATAATGAGGAAAGGTGTATGACAGGGTTGTATTCTTTCATCATACTTGTTCATCCTATATGCTGAGCAAATAATCTAAGAAGTTGGGTTTTATGAAGAAAAACGTGGCATCAAGATTGGAGGAAGACTCATTAACAACCTGCAATATGCAGATGACGCAACATAGCTTGCTGAGAATGAGGAGGACTTAAGATACTTACTGATGAAGCTCAAAGACCATAGTCTTTGGTATGACTTGCATCTCAATGTAAAGAAAACAAAAATCCTCACCACAGGACCAATAAACAACATTCTTATCAATGCAGAAAAGATTGAAGTTGTCAAAGACTTCATTTTTCTTGGACCAACCATCAACATTCATGAAATCAAATGATGTATTCCATTAGTCAAATCTGCAGCACAAGACCTTTTTAAAGTGTTGAAGAGCAAAGACGTCAGCTTGAAGACTAAGGTGTGCCTGACCCAAGCCATGGAATTTCAATCACATCATTTTGTTGTTGTTGTTAGGTGCCATCGAGTTGGTACCGACTCATAATGACCTTATGCACAGCAGATCGAAACACTGCCAAATTCTGTCAGTTTGTCATACTGTGGTGGCTTATGAGTTGCTGTGGTTCTGAAAGCTACGCCACTAGCATTTTACCAGCAGGGTCACCCACGGTGGACAGGTTTCAGATAAGCTTCCAGATGAAGACAGAATAGAAAGAAGGAGTGACGAACTACTTCCAAATATTTAGTCACTGAAAACCTTATGAATAGCAGAGAATAACCTCATGTGTATGCAAAAATTGGACAGTGAATAAGGAAGATAGTACAAGAATTGATGCATTTGAGTTATGGTGTTGAGGAGAATACTGAAAGCACCATGGGCTGCCAAAAGAACAAACAGATCTGTGTTAGAAGAAGTATAGTCAGAGTGCTCCTTGGAGGCCAGGATGGTCAGAAGCCGTCTCTCATACTTGTCATGTTGTCAGGAGGGACCAAACACTAGAGAAGGATTATCATGTTTGGTAAGGCGGAAGGTCAGGAAAAAGAGGAAGATCCCCAGCAAGATGAATTAGCAAAATGACAGTATCAATGGGCAAAGCGTGGCAACAATCGTGAGGTTAGTCCAGGACCAGGCATTGTTTCATTCTGTTGTGCATAGGGTCACTATGAGTTGGTACTGATTCAATGGCACCTCACCTAACAACAACAACACTGTAAATTGGCACTTCTTTTAGAAGGCTACATGAAAAAATAAAGTAAGACTCAACAGTGTTTCTACTCTCTGGCCAATAATATTATCTACAGGAAATTATCTTACTGAAGTATTTCATCAGAAATAAAACAGCTGTATTAGAATGAAAAGATGAATGAATACATTTAAATTATTTTAAATATTCTTTAAAGTGTTATTTTGTTGTTGTTAAGTGCCATTGAGTCGATTCCAACCCATAGTGACCCAGTATAGGGTTTCCAAGGAGTAGCTGGTGAGCTTGAACTGCTGACCTTGCAGTTCAAATGGCTCTGCAGTCTTTTAGTGCCTATGAAATGTGAAAGAATGGAAAAATAAATTACTAATACATACACCAAGCATGACTTCAGAGAAGGGATGAAATGGAAAGAATTTCTTTCTTTGCACAAGGTTAGAAAGACCGAAAATACGATACGTAGCACAGTCTTATTTTTAGAAAAAACCTGGGGGGTGGTGGTGGGGGAAACGGACTATATGTTATAAAGAGAAAATAGAAAACATCCTTAAAAGCAAATCTTTCTTTTGACTAGTAAATTTGGTGGTTAATAACAGCAGGGGGTGCCAAAGAGATCACTATTGTTCCCAGGAGATTGCCAGGAGAGGGACTACAGTGGCCTAAAAGAGCCTAAAAGACTGAACACTAATAATCAGGGCATGTGGAGTAAATCAGATATTATGTAGTTTTGAATGGATAAATAAATGCATTTGTAGTTTCACTAACTTCTAACTGACGTTTAGCATTTCCATGAATTACATCTATAGGCAACAAATCCCAGTAGTACTAGCAGTCCCAGTAACTGTCAGAGTTTTCAAATATCATTTACACTCACCACCACTTTGAAAGAAGATGTGCCACTGGATCTAGTTATTTCACGTACTAATAAAGCATTGTTGTTGTTGTTAAGTACTATGGAGTAGACTCTTAACTCACAGCAACCCTGTGTAGGGCTTCCAAGAAGTGTCTGGTAGGTTTGAACCACCGTTCCTGTGGGTAACAGTCCAGAGCTTGTCCTACATACCACAGCAAGATATGAAGTAGGATGGAATTTCACTGTATTTAAATAATTATCAAATTATTAAACATATTTGTGATATAGTAATATGTACTACGGTGGCACTGTAAGATGAACACTGGACTGCATGGTCAGTTTGAACCACAAAGTCAAGGGTTCAAAATCACCAGCCACTCCTCAGAAACCCTATATAGAGTCACTATCAGTCAGAACCAAAGGAGCTCTGGTAGCGTAGTGGTTACAAATCGGGCTGCGAACCTCATGGTCAGCAGTTCAAAACTACCAGGTGTTTCGTGGAAGAATGATGAGGATTTCTGCTCCCGTAAAGATTTACAGCCTCAGAAACCCTGTACAGGGTCGCTATGAGTCAGAACCGACTCCACGGCACATAACAACAACAACAACAAGTGGCAGGTCTAATTATAACTCCTGTTGTCTGTTGTTTTAAAGTGGTGGTGAGTGTAAAGGATATTTGAAACCTTTGCAGCAGTTCAAGCCCACCAGCCACTCCTTGGAAACCCTATACAGGGTCACTGTGAGCCAGAACCAAGTTGATGGCAGTTAACAACAACATTTCAAATACTTTTCTAAAAAAACCTTTTACAGACTTTAGAAGACTACCAAAGGAGTTCATGGCATAGGAAGTATTAAAGACCTCAGCTTAGTCCAAATGAAAGAAACTGAGAGGAAAAATCAATTTTGAGCTGAACAATATTGGAGAAAAAAGAGAAGTATTTAAGTTATAAGGGAAAAGTGGCTAAAATGACTATTTTGATTTAGTTTGGATTTCCTGAGGAGAAGGAGGGAAACGCAGAATTTTTGCTTCACAAGAACCAAAGTGTCCTAGTGTTTCCTGGTTCATAAGCCTGGTTCATACATAAGCTGTTGCAGAGATACAATCTGATATTGCATGTCATATAATACAAACGTTGTTCCCAATCTCTCTCTAGTAGTCATGATTACATGTGGAGTCTCCAGATACAAATAGTGCTCATTTAATGATCAAGCCCAAAATCAAATATAAAATACAACACGGTAGAGATGAGATACTCACATTCGAACGAAGAGTGACTCTTTGGATGTCAGACCGGGAGAGGAATATTTTTCAACCAGGGCCAAGGTACTAAAACCAAATTTATGAATAGGCTCATTGGAATCCAATGGGGGGAAATCTGTGTCCACTTCTCCATCATCTTCGGCAATATGCAGACAGTAGGCACTGACATTGTCACTGAAAGTAAACCAAAAGGGCACATGAGTACCTAGAAGTGAAGGGAAACATAGAACAGAGTGTGGTATACAGCAAGCAAACTGAGGATACTGCTGTTTGATAGCCCCAACCACATTAACCTGGCACATTAACCCACAGAGCCACACCAGGACTCTATCATCCTTACTATATATCCTTATTTCATTTATTCTTCTGTTGATAATAATAAAGCAAAACAGTTAGAACCTCCATTTTCTTTTGGTAGAGTGAAGATACAAAGCAATGCAAAGAGGAGAAAATTTATATGAAATGATGCCCTTTGTGTTTTTCTATTCTTTCATAAAATATTTAATAAGCACCTATTGTAGGTAAGACATAAGCTTAACTCCTTAGACAAAGATGAGATAATGTTATCATCTTTCAAAGAAGCTTATAGTACAGTAAGGGAGAAAAATAATTAGACTCTAACTTTGGTAGTGTAGTGGCACCAAGTTGAGCTGCTAACCTCAAGGTCAGCAGTTTGAAACTACCAGCTGTTCTGTTTTATGGCAGAAATATGAGGCTTTCTATTCTGTAATAATTTACAGCCTTGGAAATCCTACACAGGGTCACTATGATCGGAACTGACTCCACGGCACAATACCATCACCACACTAGCTTCGAATAAACAATATCATTAATATCATATACAAGAAAAAGTTTAAGATACTTCAAAAACAGTTGCAACAGTGTATCAACAGGAAACTCTTAGAAACCCAGGTCAATTCATAAAATGACTTGGAATGAGGAATATCATTGCTGACATAAGATAAATCTTGGCTAAAAGCAAAGAATACCAGAAAGATATATACTTGAGCTTTATTGACTATGCAAAGGTTTTCATAACATTGTGAAGAATAGGTATTCCTCCAGAACACTTAATTGTGCTCAATAGGAACCTGTACAAAGACCAAGAGACAAGTGTTGGAGCAGAACAAGAAGATATAGAATGGTTTAAAATCAGGAAAGTATGCACGACGGTTGTATATTCTCAGCATACTTATTCAATCTGTATACTGAGCAAATAATCTGAGAAACTTGATTATATGAAGAACAACGTGGCATCAGGATTGGAGGAAGACTCATCAACAACCTAAAATAATGCAAATGATAAAACTTTACTTGCTAGAAGTGAAGATGACTTAAAATACTTACCAAAGACTATAGCCTTCAGTATTGACTGCAACTCAATATAAAGAAAACAAAAATCCTCAAAACTGGACCAAAAATAACATCATGATAAGGGGAAAAACCATTGAAGTTGTTAAAGACTTCATTTTACTTGACTCCACAATCAACACTCATGAAAGCAGCAGTTAAAAAAAAAAAAGTACAGTGTTTATCTTATAGCACCACTGCAGTACATTATTACTATACCACAAATAAGTTTAATAATTTGATAACTATTTAAATACAAT